AAGTAGTGAGCAGGAAGTAAAATGGAAAAATACAAAGAGAACCTTCAGAGATTGAGTCAGAAAGGGTCAGAGGCCCCATGCCAAATCAAATTCACGTTGAGGAGGTTTGTTCCAGTTTCTCATGGCTCACAATTTGTCTATTTTCTGCTGTGGTTCTTAGTGGTTGTCAAGCTTTACCTCAAATCCTTCTCTTCTCTCCTTCATGATTGCTCCTCTGAGGTTCCTGCACAGTTTAGCCTAAGTTGTAGATAGGAAAAGTAATCAGCTGATTTTCCTATAGTGATAATAAAACTGGTTAGAATTTTTAAATTATTACAATTTTTAATCAACATGGCCATGACGATTATCTTTGGCAAGAGGAATGATTGATCCAGATCTGAGTTCTGGTCTATGTTAGTTCATTTTGGGGCCTCAACTTCCTTATAAAATGGAGCTAGAAATAATTTTATGGGATTATCAGAAAGATTAAACATCCTAATGTATGTGAAAGTGCTGTGTATACTATAACATGCCGAATGAAACTTACTTTATAGTCCAAAGGAGGCAGGCTTACTGTTACAAGTAGCCATTGCTTGGAAGAGAAAGCCGGGCAGCTCCCCTGGGTTTTATTATTTACATGAGAAGAAACACAAAGGGATTTGCTGGAAACGTCCTTTAATTAGGACAGAAAATACTAGTTCAAATGGAACATTTCCCTGAGATGTCTCCCTGGGGCGGGCTGGTTGTGTTGTTAAGAAAGCATTGCCTATACCAGTTTCTTCTACCACAGATGGTCAAGAGACTGCAGGAGACTTTACTGATAATCAATCTGGTTTCCTGGATACACTTGTTCAGTTCCCGTTGATGGGCATTCTCCTCTCAAGTTTGGAGGCAACTGGAGTCTGTGCAGCGTGGTTGCCCTGTTTCTCTCTTCTTGGATTTATACCTGCCTGTTAGTGACACAGTGTTCCTTTTACAAGGTGTGTGCTGGGCATGTTGATGGCTCCAACAATGGGGCACAAGGCCAGCCCCATGAGCACTTGACCTACTTTGACTTGGCTTTGATGCCAGTGTTTACTCGTCATGCCAGCGGCATCTCAAGTGTTAGTGCTGTCTTTGATTCTGCTGCAGGCCCTCTTAACTTTTAAGGTTATTTTTTCTTCTTAGCTAAGCAAGCTTCTTATGGCTACACAGTATCATTTAGTTTAGTGTGTAGAGAGTATTTATAGCTACTTATTAAATATACCTGTATTTTACTTACTGCTGCAAAATCATTATGTTCAAGGGCATAGCATTTCAAGGAGTTGATTGATTTATTGGGGCTAAATATTTATTGTTTTAGGCACAAGATTCCCTCAGATACCTTCTTTACTACTAATGTTGTTTTTCAATTGTGCTTTTGGAATCTGACTCCCTGGATTGAAATTTCAGTTCCATTTCTTACTGAGAAAACCCAAGACACAGAATACAGTGAATATGCCAGTGAGGTACACAGTTTTTTCTCTCTCATGAGAGAGAGAAAGCTTAGATATCTTAACTTTTAGTAGTCAAAACTTTTGCACATTTTTTTTAGGGGGGGCTGCTGTAATTTGGGATGCCCAAATGGTGTTCCAGCTGCCATTCATTAAAAATGTATTGAATGCCTTTAAGTGTTTGGTGGGCAGGAAGATCTTGAAGAAGCTTATGATTTAGATTGGGTTTATGAAATGGATTCATCCAATAAGCATGGATTGAGGGCTGCTTTGTGCCTGACCAGGCACTTTGGCTCAGACATGAAGAGTATAGGTGTATTTGTCCATTCTCACGCTACTATGAAGAAATCCCCAAGACTGGGTAATTTATAAAGAAAAAAGGTTTAATTGACTCAGGGTTCCACATGGCTGGGGCAGCCTCAGAAAACTTACAATAATGACAAAAGACACTTCTTCAGAATGAGTACAAGCAGGGGAAATGCCTGATGCTTATAAAACCATCAGATCTTGTGAGACTCACTATCACAGAAACAGCATCGAGGGAAACCACCCTGATGATCAGATTACCTCCACCTGGTCCCAGCCTTGACCTGTGGGGATTATAATTCAAGATGAGATTTTGGGTGGGGACACAGCCAAACCATATGAATAGGACTCTCCCTATTCAAAAAGCTGCTTGCTCACCTTTGAGACACATTCTCTGCTGATTTCCCTCCTTCTTCACTGGCACCCTTTCCTTGCTGTATTTGTATGAACTTACCCTGTCAGCTCTAAACCCTGACTACTGAGGCTACACTATTTTCACATTATGTCTTCCCTTAATCTTCAGAATGACACAACCAACCACCATGTGCTGTGATGCTATATTATACATTTACTTATTAGCCTAGTTTCTTCCCTCATCTGGAATCTAAGGGCCACAATGGCAGAGGTTGTCTGTTCGCCTCTGCATGCTACCTAGGATATGCTATGCCTCAAAGATAAATTCTCAATGAAAAGTTTCTTAGTGAAAGAATCCCTTTGTCTAGAGCTTTCCAGTGTGCAGTGAGATACTGTGCTGTAACCTTTCCATATTTACTCCCCATTTCCTGTCTCACTTCTCTACTGTGGAAACTGTCATGCCCAGTGCTTCTCCAGGGTGTTCTGGGAATGAGACCAAATGCGCAGTATGTGCACCAAGATAGCAGTTTTTTAGAGACTTTCTTTGACCTGTGGATCAGAGACTTGGGTGTGTGGAATTCTATAGAGAGCTGTGCTTCCTCAGAATGTTTCACTGTCTGACTTACAAAATTCTTTGCGCTCAAAAATGGAGTCTTCATGCCGTGCCATCTGGTGTCAGTGCTGGGTTGTGAAGTGTCGGCTTCCAGATGGATGCTCTGCGCCTGGATGCTGACCTGAGAGTGCAGTAGGGAGGGCTCCAGGGAGGAGAGGTGGACCTTGATGGATTTTTTTTTTTTTTTTTTTTTCTGTGCTCTGCCTTAAGCAGACCTTTTGTTTTGATTTTGGTTGTGCTTTGCTTTCCCATCACTTTCTTCTTTATAAATGCTTATGAATAATTTTTGTCGGGATTTCATGAAATAAAATCTTCCATTCCAATTTTTATTCTCAAGTTTGCCTGGTTCATACATAAGACAGTCTTTCAGAGGACAGAAAGTGAGAAATAAGCATTTGGGGAAAATTCACAGTGCACCTCCTATGGTAAAATCCTCTTTTCCTCTGAATTTAATCTTCTATTAGATACAAAAATAGTTTTCAGATAGAATATCCCTTCTATGATATTGATTACTAGCATCTACATGTGCATATTATGGGCTAGTCACTTCTAAATGTGTTAAAACATATTATTCCAGTTAATTTTCACAGTAATTCTAGGAGGCAGGTTTTATTATCCCCATTTTAGAGGTGGAGAAACTATAGAGACACCAAGAGATTAAGTGCCTTTCCAAGGTTAGCTAGCTAGTAAATGAGTTTGGTGGTTCTAGACCTTTGTTCTCAGAAAGTAAAGTGTACCATGATTTCTGTAGAGCTAACTGATGTTTTTATGGATTTTAGGTGAAATGTTGGTGCCAAATGAACTTTTCTGGTTCTTCTGAATGTAAGCACATATTTTGTGCAAAACCTTATTTAAAAGCCTTTTAAAACTTGCTCCCCTGCTTCCAATTAAGACAAAATTTCCTAACCTGACATTTGAAGAGTTGCTCGTTAAAAGCCATTTTGCCTTTTTTATAATTTTATTACTTTTTCAGTCAATTTTGTCTCCTTTATTTAAAAAAGTTAATGGAAGAATTTTAAATAATACAACATATTTGAAACAAAAATTTCATAATACTGGTACTTGTACTTTCTAGATGTGACATTATTTGTAATGATCATAATAGCAAGTATGATTTGAAGATATAATTTATGCAAAATACTCTTTATATGTGAAGCTATTCAATGTCATTTAAAAAAATGAATTGATATTTATTTCAGTGTAATTCTGCCTTAGTGAATTTCTTAAGCACCTGCTCTGTACTAAGTGTTATGTTTAGAACTCTGAGGACATTAAATAATCTATGACATAGTCCAAGCTCTGAATGAGCTTAAAGTCTTACTAGACAAAAATATTATGGGAAATTATAAATTACAAGTTTGTAATGAAAAACAACAAAGTAATTAAACCACAAATAGTGAAGTAAAGATGTTTTCCTTGTTTATACTCTCAAATTCTTTCAGAAAAGGATTTCAAGCACCTAGGATCAATTATGCTATTTTTCACATCTCCTTCTATATTTTTTACTCATTCATTCATCTGTTCATTCATTCAATATTTATTGAACAAATATGTATAGAAGATGACCATAGATTCTTTCAAGGAATCTTGACATTCTGTGGAATAGAGTTTGATAGACATTTTAATAGATAATAAAGATATTTACCATTTGGAATATCAAACAAAATGATGGCTTCTGCTTTCATTAAATAATTTTAGGCTGGTGTCATAGATAAAATTGTTTTAAATCAATCCATTGGCACACATAGAGGACCTCTTATTTTAGAAACTAAATTAGGCATTGGGAGTTTAAAAATACTAAGGTGCTTTTCTTGAAATCAATGAAGAGGAAAAAGGAACGATCCACAGTTGATTATGATGCAATGATGAGTGCAAAAAATAGAAGTGAGCAAAAGGTGCCATGGGGGACGGAGAGCACAGAGAGCGTGTAAAACACCCCAGAGAGGTCAGGAGAGGTTTCTGGGCAGATGAAACCTTAAAGAAGAGTGAGAATAGGTGGAGACAGAATTTCAAGTCCCTGAACTGAAAGACAGTGTACCTTATTTAGGCTCCTTGTGTGTGTGTGTGTGTGTGTGTGTGTGTGTGAGAGAGAGAGAGAGAGAGAGAGAGACCGACCCCCCCCCCGACACACACACACGGGGGTGGTGGAGGAGAGAGAGAGAGAGAAAGAGAATGTGTTTTGAAGGAGTTGTTATAAGAAATTATTTATGCTGAAGATTTAGATTGAGTCCCTCATCTTACAAAAACAGAAAAGTGTTTAAGTCACTCTTTCTTAGTTCTTCCAAGAATGGTGCGTACCTGAATATTCTAGATACCAAGGAGAGAACTTATAACATGCAACGGATGCCCTAGAGTATGAGGACTTAATTCTCTGAGGAACTCCAGGTAAGAAAGGGCCTAAGATGAATGAAGGTGATTGTTAAATGTGACTCTTTGGTATAAAGTTTTTGAATTAAAATTACTTTTACTTTTGTTTTTATTTTTATATTTTTTCTTATTAATATTTATTCTGAGGATTCCAGAATATTGCTTTTGAGTTGATTGCACCCTGTCTCTCCCTCTCTTTTTTCCCTCTTTCCCTTTTTTTACTTTACAAGAGTCCTCCAAATAATTGGCCAATTAGAACTTTCTTTCCTTGCATGGGCCCAGAGTTTTTGTCCGAGGCCTTAATTAGTATAAAATTCTATATTGTTGTGCCTATTTCCATCCTTTGCATTTGATTTAAGAAAAATTTTCATAGCCAGAATCAAAGTTCTGGTCCCTGTCATGGTAAAGATGAAGTATAAATTGGCCCCAGAGAGGTGATTTTTAAGCTTATTTGAGAAAGGAGACTTTCTTTTCAAAGTGACTGATTGTCCAAAGTACACTTCTGTAACAATTTTCTAGGCCTGCAGAGTAAAGGAAGCTTTTTCTTTCTCCCTTCTTTTTTTTTTTTTCTTTTTGTAAAGGTTAATGTCTTCAAATGTCTTCCAAACAATGTGCTTTGTGTCTCTTTTTACATTTTTGCAGTTCTGGTTCACTTCTTACTTTGCTGGAGAGGGAGTTAGTGGGTGTCTCCCATAAATAAGTCACTTCTTTTGAGGGCAGATGAGATGCAGCTTCTGCCCTTCAACTCTGCCAGCAAACTTTCTGCTGATCAGAAGTCTTCCTTAGAGAAAGCTTCTAGCTCTTTGTTTCAGGGGCTTCCTGGCACAGGTTAGGAGTAAGTAGTACTGGTCCACAAAGTTTGGCCTATACATTGGCATCCTATTCCTTACAGTTCTGTGTACAGGCCAAGAAACAAAGCTCTTGTGATCTCCTTTTAATTGTGCCATACTGATATAAAGGGAAAAGATTCACTCTTTCAGAGACATGCCTGTTTCTTCATCTAAGCCTTGAATATACATTTTCCACAAAACATGCCACTATCTAGGGAACTAGAGCCCTATAATTTGTTTGAAATTTGGTTAAAGATACCAAATTTCAGACCCTGAAGAGACAGCGTGGTCATTCAAGCAGGATGGTCAGTTTGATCAAAATCAGGAACAATCGTGACATATTTCTAGGACTCTGTTACGGGCATCAGACCACAAATGCCTCTAATACCATTCAACTGCACATGTTTGTTTAAGAAAAGAAGCAAAAAAGAGGAAGAAGACCTTTGCCAGTTGAGTAAAGTCACTGTTGGAATAGTGACTACAGTTTTCTTAATGATAGAGAAGCAAACGGCTTGCTCACATGAAGAAACTGTTGGTCCATTATTAGATGGGGAAGGCTGAGTTCAATGGATTCATCATGGAAATGCTTATGCTTCTATGTACCAGCAGTCTGGTTTTATGGGCCTCCTACGTGGGTTGTTGGCCTGGCTAAATACAAAATGAAATCCATATCCCCTTGTGTTTATCTTGACAGTTTCTGTGGCCACCATTGCTTTTTGGTAAATCTCATTATGTGCTCCAAGCTTCTAAATGAAAAGTTCCTTTCTGTCAGCATACTGAATAAACAGTACTCCTGCTTCTGGAATCCTTGTGAGTTATTCTGTGCATCAAACAGCTGCATCAGCTTTATCGGAAATGAGTTTGTTCCTGGGCTGATATTTCTCAGTGAAGGCCATGTTTAGCATGGCAAGGCTAACTATGAAATCATTTTGATAAGCAATGCAGAAAGCTTCATAAAAACACAACTTCCCAAGGTCTTCTTTCTTTCTAAAGCAAGTAAGTTAGATGCTGATTTTCCAAATATTTATAATAGTAAATTATATGCATTTCCCTTTCTGAAATTTTATGCTGCATAACTCTTTACCATTAGAAGGACCATTCCTTATTTTGGATCTCACTTTCTTTCAAGTCATCAGGAGTTCCATATAGAAATTGAATTGGGAATCAAGGCTCTTGCTATTAGATTAATTCTTCTGAGACCCTACCTGATATATAGATATGGAGTAAAAAAATTTTTTTTGAAACGGAGTCTTGCCCTGTAGCCCAGGTTGGAGTGCAGTGGCGCAACCTCTGCTCACTGCAAACTCCACCTCCTGGATCCAAGCTATTCTCCTGCCTCAGCCTCCCAAGTAGCTGGGACTACAGTTGCGCACCACCACTCCTGGCTAATATTTTGTATTTTTAGTAGAGACGGGGTTTCACTGTGTTAGCCAGGATGGTCTCGATCTCCTGACCTCGTGATCTGCCTGTCTTGGCCTCCCAAAGTGCTGGGATTACAGGCATGAGCCAACATGCCCGGCTGATATGGAGTAAATTTTAAATGAAAGACTATATTCAAATATCTCAGTGAAAATAATATTGCCACTATTCTTAATTATTAATGCATAAAGATTTCATCTTATGTTTTCCTTTAATGCATTGGCTTAAAATACTGAAATTACAAACTAAGGGTAATGATATGTTTTTGCCATTTCTCCACTCAAATCTCATCTTGAATTGTTGTTTCCATAATTCCCACGTGTCATGGGAGGGACCCTATGGGAGGTAGTTGAATCATGGGGGCAGTTTCCCCCATGCTAGTGAGTGAGTTCTCAGGAGATCTGATTTTTATTTATTTATTTATTTATTTATTTATTTATTTTTTGAGACGGAGTCTCACCTGCCACCCAGGCTGGAGTGCAGTGGCGCTATCTCGGCTCACTGCAAGTTCCACCTCCCGGGTTCACGCCATTCTCCTGCCTCAGCCTCCCCAGTAGCTGGGACTACAGGCGCCCGCAACCATGACTGGCTAATTTGTGTGTGTGTGTGTGTGTGTGTGTGTGTGTTTTAGTAGAAACGGGGTTTCACCGTGTTAGCCAGGGTCGTCTCCATTTCCTGACCTTGTGATCCACCCACCTTGGCCTCCCAAAGTGCTGGATTACAGGCTGAGACACAGCGCCTGGCCGATATGATGGTTTTATAAGAGGCTTTTTCCCCTTTGTTGGGCATTTCTCCTTCCATGTGAAGAAGGACGTATTTGCTTCTCCTTCTGCCATGACTGTAAGTTTCCTGAGGCCTCCCTAGTCCTGCAGAACTGTGAATGAATTGAACCTCTTCTCTTTGTAAATTACCCAGTCTCAGGTATGTCTTTATTAGCAGTGTGAAAATGGACTAATACAGGTAAATTATTGTGATTCATAACAAGTGGAAGCTATATATTTTTCTTCTTGTGGTTTAAAAAAATATATACACCCCATGGTTCAATCAGAAGCCTGTTACTTTTATATTTGCAAATTTATAACTTAGTACACTTATGTGACTCCAGTGAGCATTTATAAGCAGCAAAGATCTTGTACTTAAAAGCACTGAATCATTTTTATCCACAAAAGAACCCTATTAGAGGATGTAATGAGATTTTGAAAATTAAAAAAAAAAAAAAAGCTCAAGCCATTGACTCATAATGGTTCACACAACAGATCACATTAGATGAAGGATGTTTGAGTTTCTAGGCTATCATTTGTTCTACCAGATTTCAGGAGACAAAGCGTGTGAGAAGACAGGCAGGAAAGGGACACAGAGAGCTTCTGCAGAGATGACAACTCCCCTCCTCTAAAGGGCACTGTCATTCCCAAGGGCACTGCCATTCCCAAGGCTGCAGTCCCTATGGGACTATGGCTGCTTTTGTGGCACCCACGGGTGAAAACCTGGTCTCAGCTGGCATGGAGGCTCTCAGTCAGCAGCTGCTATGCATCCTCTTAGCCCTGCAGCCCAAACTCACCAGGCAATTTTCATGCTTTGGTTAAAGTGCACAAATTGGTGTTTGAAAGCATGTCAGAACCTTGACCTCTTGCTCTCTCATTCGGGTCGCTCATGATTTTCAGTGGTTGAAATGATACAGAATATTTCTTGGCTACTGTACCAACTGGGGACCTTCATGGCCAGTGATGCATGCCTGCCTGGGCCTCACTTGGCCCTGGGCCTGCCACTGGAGGCACCCCACCCACTTGGCCCACCTATGTTACAGATTGTAGCCATGTTTGGTGGTTTCCGAGCTCTGGTCCCACATCCAAGAAGACTGAGGTGATGCAGACAATTAGAAGGATGAGAATGAGTGGAGAAGAATTTTACTGAGCAACATAATAGCTCTCAGCACAGAGGTGATGCAGGGTGGTTTTTCTCTCTGTGTGGCTGGGTCCAGAGCTTTTTATAGGTTCAGAATGGAGAGTGTGTGCTGATTGGCTTGTGAGTATGCAAAGAAAGGCTAAAGCAAAGGCACCATTCAGAGATGGGCATTGCAGTGTAGAAAACCAATTAGGAAGGGTAGGTATATGTAAAACAGCTGAAGGGTTGGAATCAATCAGAGTAAAGTGTGCCATACAGAAAGAGACAGTTTTTAAATCTGGCCCATGGATCTGACTTGTAGCTTGGCTTTCAGGCTTTAAACTGTCTTCAGTTTGGAGGTGGAGTTTCACTAGGGACCCGCCCCTATCTGCCTAGGCATTTGTCTGCCTCCTGCTGCTATCTATACTTGATGGATGGCTATTGATGAAAAAAAGATCAAGAGTTTGGTGGAAGTATTGATGAAAAAAAAAAAAAACTATTGATGAAAAAAAGATCAAGAGTTTAGTGGCTAAGCGTTTTCACATTCAAAGAATGATTGAGAAGAAAAATCTATCCTGATTTTCTTTTCTTCCTTTCTTGTATTCCCACTCAGTTTAGAGAATCCATGAGTACTGTGTAATTCTCTTTAGGATTTGTTTTAGGAAAAAGTCCAAAAATATTGGGATTGAGGTGAGCTTGTAATTGACAAAAAATATTCTATGCCTATGCTATCTGCCCTCTACTTTTGTTTCAAAGAAAATGGTAAATAAAAATGACGACTTCCTGAATACTGATATCTTGCATTGTCCTATATGTTTACTCTGCATTATCTCTTAGTTCTTGCAAGACTCCTATGATAGCTGCTATTATTATCCCCATTTTAGAGAT